ATTAAGCTTAGAAAGTAATGTGAATTGTTTCATTATTTACTACTTAATAACTAGGCAAGGTTGGGAAATCTAAAAAAAAAATGAAATTAAAAAGGAAATAATCAAAATAAAATCTCTTTAAAGAAAAAAAGGCCATTTATGGCCTATAAATAGCCAGGGGGAATTATGCACAAGAAGAAGCGAAAACTAAGTTAGAAAGGAGAAATAAAATTAGGAAGAAAGGAAAGTATGAAAGAATTTGAGTTGAGATTCGGGAAGGTTTCTAGAAAACAATCTTCAATCAAGAAAATAATTCGGGAATAGAGGTAACGGGAGCTAACCTTTATAGGCTTTTAGATTAATGTTCTAATGATGTTGTATAACTATCTATGCTCTTGAATTTCTGTGTGGAAGTTGTTAATAGGTGAGAACTTATATTAAATCTGTGAAATCCATGCTTTGTAATATATGTATAAATATTGTTAATGGAAAATCTATGATCTTCTATTGAATTTGTGAATAAGAAATTCATGAAAACTAGTTGAGGAACACTTTGGCTAAGGAAATACTTGGTACTTAAGTTGTCCATTGGTACTAAGGAGGTCCTAGTCGAGCATAGATTTGGGCAAGATGTTAATGAACAACTTGGGATGGTAAGGATTGTTGTATTGAAAGTGTATTTGTAAAGAAAAGTTGAGGCCACCATAAGTGCATAACCTCATGTGATCGCACATCAACATCTCATTGAGTGTATTTGCATGATATTATATATTGTGACGATTAAGTCTACTTTAATACTGCATGATGATATAATTATTATTATGTGAAGTAATATAACTAAGCATGATGATATAATTATTGTTATGTTTTATCATTAAGAGTCCATTCGCATTATCTCTTCCTTAATTTTTAATATAACTATCATTTCTTATTATTATTATTATATTCAATAAATTAATTCAGTTTTAACATTTCTTTTCAGTTATTAGGTGTTATTATTACTATTAATAATATTATTATAATTATAATCAACTGTTATATTTTATTTTAATTTCTTTATTTATTAATTTATTTTATTATTATTATTAATTTAAATATTAATTATGTTGTAATTTTCTTGAATTATTAATGTTAATAATATTAATATTATTTATTATTATTATTAAAAAATATAATGTTAATAATATTATTACACTTTCTAAAATTAAACTTATATTTTGCATTTACTTGTAGTCAATTAGATGTGGTTACTTTTAGAGTAAAAGCAATAAAAGACATCATTTTTGTTTTATATAACTTTTTTTTATTTAGGTATCAACCAATGCCATTTTGTTAATATTTCAAAGTCATTAATCAAATACACATCTCAAATTGTTTTAATTGGTTGTAATTGATGCAACGAAATTAAGTGAGAGAATTGTAAATTATAAATATTATAAATATAAAAAAAGAAGTGTACTCCTTTCAGTTATAATTTAAGTTTTTCTTTTCCTTTTTTATTAAGAAAAAAAATAGAAATATAACATTTAAAATTATTTAATTGTTCCAATTATAACAAGTTTTATTTATTATAAATTAATTTAAATTTGTAAAACTTGTTTATTTTAATGTGATTGAAATAGAATAGTTATAATGTGAGAACCTGATAAATTAATACACACTTAATTCATTCTCTGATCACTATTTGTAATGCACCGTGACACGTCAAAATGCACTCACACTTCCACTGCATGCGCCTGCCATGTGTCACGGTTGGAGCATTCTGAGAAGGTTAGTGGGAGACAAGTGGCGTGTGGAGGTTGGGGAGTTTATTCTGCATGGGAAGAGAAAAATAATTCTGAAAAAACTCTCCCTCTTCCTCCTGCATGCTTCATCTTCTTCTCAGAATTTCTGCTTTCAAATTCTCTGCCCTCTCTCTAAACCGTTTTCATCTTCTCTCTAAGATAACTCACCATCAAACCTCTGATCTCATTTCAGACACCATAGAAACCTTCCCTGCACTGTGAACATCATTCTGATCCGAACAGAATTGAGAACTGAACTGGTAAGTTCTCGTCTTTGCACCTTCGTCCATTTAGTTCATGCAAACCAAAATTTGGTTGCCATGAGTGTAGAAGTCTGATCTGTTTACGATTGTTGGGTGTTAGATTAAATTGAAGTGGTTGAGTGAATTCTGATAGAAAGCCGTTGAGAGCACGAGAGAAACTCTAAGCATTTGGAAGTGCACTGCTAGATCAGGTAAGGGAAGCTTATAAGTTTAATTCATACTGCTTGATTTTTGTGATATGAGTTGCATGTATGTAAGTCTGATGTTTGAGCTGTATGAACGGTTACTGATATCTGATATGATTTCTGATGTTGGTTTAATCTGTCATGAACAAATACTGCTTGTATGTATTATATATGTTGTTTTTGATTTTGATTAAATGCATGTTGATCTGATCATGTATAAATGGAGTATGGTGATTGTATAGTTGGAATGATTCAAATGTTGAAATCTGTATGATGATGATGTTTAAGGTGAATTAAATCTGGAATGAAAGTTATAAAGTTATAAATTGGAAATCTGGAAAATTTTGCTAAGGTTGAGAAATCTGAAATTTCATTCTTTCCCACTGATAAATGACGTTCGTCCCTGTACGGTCTTAAACCGTTCGGCATTTCAGTAAAGTAACTTAGATTGGGATTCTTTCATTTGGAAGGAATTCTGCTCATGAACGAGCGTCCCAAATTGAATGTCTGAGCGTTCGTCTAGCTCAGCAATATTTAAATATTTAAAACTTTATGAATAAGTAACGCTCGGTCTTATACCGAGGCGTTCGTCCTAATTAGCGTTCGGCCTTATGTTGAACGTTCGTTTTGATAGCGCTCGTCCTTATGTCGAGCGTTCGTTTTTCATAAGCATTCGGCCTTATGTCGAGCGTTCGTCATTCGTAGCGTTCGGCCTTATGTCGAGCGTCCGTTCTCAATAAGCGCTCGGTCTTATCACGAGCGTCCGTTCTGAATCTCGCTAGGTCTCTTACCTCGCGTTTTTGTACTAAGGAATATTCAATTGATAAAATAGCGTTCGTCAAAGTATTTAAATATTCATTTTTCTTTGCGTTCGTTCCATTCTGGAATTGGATTCATATGTAAATCTCTTGAAAAATAATTCTAAGTGTTCTTGACCCTCCTTTGTACATTAAATCTGGTTCAAGTTTCTATCATGATTATTTTCTAAGTACCAGTACACTTCAAGTCGAGTCGGTTCATTTAACAGAATCCACAGAAATTACGTTCGTTCTAAGTATTTTTCCTGAGTATCCAGTGAAGTTATTTGGACGTTCGTCCTGAGTGTTCAGTGGACTGTACGTTCGTTCTGTTATTCTCTTACAGTTAAAGATGAAATTGATGTTACATCATATGATTACAGTGTGAACACTATATGGATGAATCTATGATTATGGATATTGGATGGAGCGTTCCAGGGAGGAAAGTTCTCTTATATGATTGAATATTGAATTGGTAAGTATGACTGTGGTTAGTTAATGCTGGCTTGGTCCATCCTGATATTCCGTGATGCTCATCTTCACGTAGAAGGGGGTAGTCATGTGGGGAATGGCAGGAGGTCTTTCGTATCCCTCACTTAGCAGGGGCGAAGGATTAACCTCAAGTGGAGAGTGATTAGGTATATCCCGAGCTACTACACCACTTGGGTGCAAGGACGCCTATAACTACATGGTTCATACAGTCCGGACGGTCTGTCTTATATATCTTTCTATGTTAAATTACATATTAAGTTACTTGATGTATGTGTGAATCGAATTACGAACTGTATGTGTGTTGTATTAATTAAACAGTATAAGCTTACCCTTGCGTTTTCCATTTGTGTTGTCTACTGTCCATGTGCTTTCGTCTTGTCAAAATGCAATGATCAATCCGTTGTGGATGTGAGCAGATGGTGATGCATCCCTTGAAGTCATGTTGGAAGAAGAAAATTGGAGGATGCAAATCTGGTGGAAGTTGTGAGTTAAAGCCGAGCCTTAGAGCGCTCGTTAGTTTAGTAACTGTATATATTATATTAGCTCATTTTGGGACGTTCGGTTATCATTTGTAAAACCGTTCGTTATTAGTGCTCGTTATCTTGAGCTGTAATTTTGTAACTCTGAAACCTTAAGTTGTTCTTGCTTTATTTTCTCTGCACTTGGATACGCTCGTTACTTGTACACCAGCCGTTAGGCTTTGAACCTTGGTTTCCTGTTAATATTAAGACTGTTTACTGTTCACTGTTAATTGTAATTAATTTGAATTATGGTTATTACTATATTTTGGGATGTTACAAATAACATGTAAAATTATTAATTATTACTTTATCTAAATTTGAATTTTTTAATTTGATTAACTCAATTATCATATATTATTTTAAACAATTAAATAATAAAATATATTTTATTAAAAGAATGTATAAACAACTTAAATATAATAAAAATATTATTATTTAAATAAATAAAATATTTATATTAAATTTTAATTATATTTTCATAAATCTAAATTTATTAAATATATTCTTTCTTTTTTGTAAATCCCGTGCAATTCACGGGTTATAATACTAGTTATAATATTTTACAAAAAAGTAATTACAATTACAAATTTGGGCAACTATTTAAAATATTTTTTCAAATAGTTATAAAGTTTATTTTTTTATCGTGAATAATACTGCATGAAATGAAAGTGATATTTAAAAATATTTGTATATAAAAGCCAAACTGGATGTATTCTTATATTTAAAAGTTGGCTTACTTAATCTTTCTTCTGGCCACTTTTTTATCTACATAAAATAATGTTATTTTTAAGAATTTTCTTAAAAAATGTTCTTAACTCTATTTTTTTTTTCTCCAAAAGAATAAAACTATGTAAAGTTAATAAGTCGTACATAAATATCACATATGATAATTATTTTATAAATAAATAGTGATGAAAACACATGCTATTGCCCATGCTTTTACATCTTTCTATACAATAATAAATACACTTTATCATTCCACTGATGCAAGAACATTGGTAGTGATTTGGCAGATTTGGTTTGGTGTGTGCACACAAAACAAAACACAACCTGGGAAAGAACACATCACAATTTCACTCTATTTAGCAAAAATCAAACCTTCTCAAACTAAAACTACACTTCATCTTCTTCAATAACGGTGAGCGTCTTCTTCTTCTTCTTTTTCTTCTTCTTTTCTCTTTTATCAGCCCTAACTATATTCAATCCCTCATTATGTACCAACATAATTTTCTTTTGTTCCCATTTATATATATATATATATATATATATATATATATATATATATATATATATATATATATATGTAAGACTTAGGAGCACTTTACTTTAAATAAATGAAAAAAAAAAGATAAAGCCTTCAATTGTTGATTCGTTGTTATTTTTTTTGTATAATGTGTGGTACCATGTTCATGTCAGTGAGCAAGCACTGAGACTTTCTTTCATAGATCATTGTCAGGTCATGTTTATTATGTTTGGAACTAACTCAGATTCTGATACCCTTAACAACAACCCTAGTTTTAGGTCTCCTTGAAAAAGTGTGACACTGTAAGAGAACAGACAATGGAACTTACTTGTTGATCATTGTCGAGCCATGTTTATTCTGTTTGTGAGAAAAGTCAGATTCAGATACCCTTTAAAAATCTCATTTTTAGGCTTCCTATGTTCTTTGTACACTCATTCTTGTCTGTTATTGGAACACCTCCCACATCTTCTTTTGAAACAACCCTCACTTGGAAAGGCGTCAGTCCTTGTTCAAGTTGAATCAAATCCTGGGTCAGATGAATGGTTTTATTGTTGAAGGCTAAGTTTATAGGATTCTCTGTGAGAAAAATTCCTACATGATGCGTACAAAAATCTAATGATGTCATGTAAATCTTGAAGAATACTTACATACGTTGGAGTTTGAATTCCTGTACTCTACTGGAAGAAGAGTTCAAGTTAAAGAAATTTTGAGTACTTGTATATAAAACTCTTGGCTCTCGTACATACATGAATTTTTATCACAATTGCAATTGAAAGCCTATGATTTTCTATAATCAATATACTGCATCAACAAAGCAAAAAGAATATTTTTCTAAATCATATTGCTAATACTTCTTGTTTCTACATGTTGGTTTCATATGTATTGCTTGAAGACATGATTCATATGTAATTAATCATTTTTCCTTCCCTGTATTGTTCATTTTTTAGTGTATTTTCCTGCTGCTACATGTGTAGTATAAATGTCAACAACTAAATAAGTAATATGTTTGATTTTAATAATTAACGGAGAAAGAATAAAAGGAAAGCATTCTGATCAACATTGATGTTGAATAGATTCCCTGATGTATGCCAGTGGTTTAAGTCACATGTCTGTGTTTGTGGGTTTAGGACTTTAGGTTGAGAAGAGGTTTGATCAGGGAAAATGTTTTCTGTTGTTATTTGATTTCACCTTTAATTGCATAAATTTCACCACGTTTTCACTTTGTTTCCCATGTTCAAAAGTTTGTACAAGTAACATAACTTATTAATAAGTTGTCTGTTTTTTTGTCTCGTATACAAACTTTTGAGAACAAAAAGTAAAGTGAAAATAAGGTGTTATATTTTATTTTACTGAAATTGCAATTAAAAATGTTCTCTAAAACCGAATGGTCCCTTGATCTACGGATTTCTGTATACTGGATGTGTATAGTGTCATTGGCACTGATACTCTAAAGTCTGCATTGACATTTGCAAATTTCTCTGTTCACTTCTCTTCAATAGAAAAATCCATTTGTATGTAATGAGTAAAATTTACATATATGCTTGGCCTCTAAATATATATTAATTGTTTTATTTGTTTGACACAGAGATGTCGAATATAGTACGCAGAGGCATCCATTACATGCCAGCACTAAATGCAGCAAAAGTATCTGCTGCTATGCTAGAGAAAGGCCAAAGTGGTGTCATAGATGCTTCACTTACACTTATTCGAGAAAGAGCAAAGCTAAAGGCATGTCATATTTATTTTTATCCTTCTTTCCTGAATTTGTGTTTGTTTAGTGTTGTTTCTTTTGTCCCACAATTTTATATTTTATTTCAGTGATTTTGAGCTGTGCATGAAAGTAATGTGAATGCAATTGTTCTCTTTTTCTCCAGGGAGAACTTGTGCGTGCTTTGGGAGGTGCTAAAGCAACTTCAACTCTTCTTGGAGTTCCTTTGGGACATAATTCATCATTCCTACAAGGACCTGCATTTGCACCTCCTCGCATTAGGGAAGCCATTTGGTGTGGTAGCACAAACTCAACAACTGAAGAAGGTATAGTCATATCGTTTTCTTTGGATAGCAGAAATCTTTGGAATTGTTTTTGGTTTTAGCACAGGCTAAAGTTTGCATTGTAAACTCACTCAAATGGTAATTGGTTATTTGCATCAAGTTATCTTAGTAGAAGATTTAAACTAATATCCAATTGGAAATTGAAATAATGGATGTTATTTCTTACGTTGTTAAAAATTCTGGCATTTTATGTTGTTTGGATTTCTGTTACCTCCCTTCTCTTTTGGTTGTATTCTCCTAGAATAGCATGGAGTTGTGTAAGATGCCTGCTCAACCTGTATCTAGTTATCCTTTGTTTGTGAATCTACAGTGTCCATGGAGGCAACTTATTTCATGGGATATAGATCACTGACAATTTTACTTCGCAGTGCCCTCATTATTATCGTTTTTGGCCTGCAATTACTGGTAAATTTTGATAATAAGTAGCTTATAATATGACAATTCTTATTATGCAGGCAAGGAGTTACAAGATGCACGGGTTCTTACTGATGTTGGTGATGTCCCAATTCAAGAAATTCGAGATTGTGGGGTAGATGATCACAGATTAATGAATGTAATTGGTGAATCAGTGAAGTTAGTGATGGATGAGGTAAATTTTAAATTTGTGAACTTGTGCTTTGAATGCTGTCACATTATTTGGAATTATTAAATCACAAGACCCACAACTTGCAGTATATGTCATTTCTTTGTTTTTGGTTCGTATTTCCTTATTATTTTAAATGATAGTGATTTACACCCGATAAAGTGTTGAAACAGTGAGGAAATGAAAAACTATTTGAAGTGTTTTATTTTTCTAGTATCAGATTATTTTTTGTTGGTAGCTTGATTGCATCTCCCCCTACTCTTTAAGTAATGGTTTTTTATGCTTCTGTTGGTCTTTTGTTCATGTTATCAATTTTTTGTCGTGAGAAATTTGTAATTAATTAAACTATAATTAGGGAATTGAGTAGAGGAAAATTGACACTCCCTTTTCTACATGCTACAGTCGTTTCTATAAGCTGGTCATTCGAAGTGTGAATGCAGGTGTAACTAATTATAAACTATTGTCGTATCTTTTAGGTTTGATACTGGCATTAGTTTTGAAAGCATACTGTCATTAAGGATTGTTTGATCAATGTAATATATTGGTAAGAGAAAACTTCATTTTAAAGGGAGCTAGATACTCTGGTTTTCAATCCTGATTTTCTGAAATGAAGAGTGGCTTCTTGGCAATTGTTGAACGTAAGTAAGGAAGGATCCATGTGTAACATGACAAGAGAAAATCTTTGAAGGTCCTTTTATTTTATATTGGATTTGTTTATCCAAAAAATTGACTTGTTTTTGGTGCTTTTTTGTGAAAATAATAGCATTCTTTCCATCAAATCTACTTTGAATTTTCATATTTTTCTCATATTCTGTTATCTGATAATATTCTCTTTGAACTTCGCTTTGTTTAATTCTCATAGTGTCTACATTATTACAGGATCCATTACGCCCCTTAGTTTTAGGTGGTGATCACTCAATATCATTTCCAGTTATCCGAGCTGTCTCTGAGAAGCTTGGAGGACCTGTTGATGTTCTTCATCTTGATGCGCATCCTGATAACTATGATGCCTTTGAAGGAAACATTTATTCACATGCTTCTTCTTTTGCTCGAGTCATGGAGGGCGACTATGTTCGACGACTTTTGCAGGCAATTATTTGATGTTTGCAGATTTGTTTGTAATATAAATGGTTTAATTTGTTAATACATTGCAATAACTTAAATCTCATTTAGCCTTTATATTCTGTTAATTTGTGCATTTTGGCTGATTATTTTTCATAGAATAGGTGGGATTTTGTTTAGAAGTTAAATATAACTTGATCAGGACTCAGGATGTAATCATCTGGAACCCTTGAAAGAGGACAACCAATTTAGGTGTAGGACATATGGATGATGTGGCTAATCCTTCACGTATCTGATTTCACAAATGAAGGAATCTAATTCCCATTTTATGATTCGTTTTTGCACAGTTATGATCTATTATTCATTATCTGAAACAGTGTGTAACTTGTCCACAAAGTTAATAGAACTGTTAGTTGAATTCCTTAGAACCTTTTACAAAGCAAAACATGCTTTGCTGAAATTACTTCATTATATTCAACCATGCTCTCAAAATGATTTATTCTCTTGGAGTGAATTTATCTGATAAATCTTTGACTTACATCTTAGTCTGCACATTTTTTTGTTAATTTGTTTGGATAGTTAAGTTGATGCAATTTTCCTCATGAATGATAGTAAATATTTCATTCATCTATGTTGTGCGTGACACATTAGTATTCTTCATATTGTTTTTAACTCGTTAATCTATATCAGGTTGGTATAAGATCAATAACAGCTGAAGGGCGTGCACAAGCCAAAAAATTTGGAGTTGAGCAATATGAAATGCGGACATTTTCAAGAGATCGTCACTTCTTAGAAAATCTGGTCTTTCTATCGCTCTTTACCTCTTTTATACAACACAAACACACCTACACATTAATTCATATCTCTCTTCATCTATCAAGCATGAATTATAAACCTTACATATTATATCCATGTTGACTACCTGGTAGGTGTCAAGGCATAGTCATACATGTTAGAATGATTCACTAATCAATACTGTTAGGTTCCTGGGTCTGAAACCTAACTATCAACACTCACATTAAGCAAAAGAACAATGAAAGAATGGGTTTCTGTTATTGATACTTAAAGAAAATACACAGATAGCGCTAATGAAGGCTAATCCCCCTCTTAGTCCTAACAGAGGCCTAATCCCCCTCTTCTGGCCAAAGTCCAGATTTACAAAAGAATATTCAAAAACCTCTCTGACAACATAACAGAGTCCTATTTATACAATTCCTCTGCCTTCTATCCTAAACCCATCTTAAACCCATTACCCATTATGCTATGCCCTACACCCTATAACTTATCATTACACCCCGCTGCCGAACAACCTTGACCTCAAGGTTGGAACCGAAAAGCTTAGTCTCTTGACTCCTCTTCATCATCTTGTTATCATATGAAGGGAACCCTCTGGCAATTGCCCTCCAATTCAGGTCTGGAGGTTTGGGTGGTGGCAATTCCTCCTCCAATGACTTCCATTCTTCTTGGATTTTATTA